GAGTGTTTGAGAGAGAGAGAATGAAAGAAAGAAAGAAAGAAAGAAACAAACAAAGAAAGAAAGAAAGAAAGAAAGAGAAAAAAAAGAGAAAGAGAAAAGGTCAGAAAAAAGGAAAGTAAAAATCAAAAGGTGGACGAAACGAACAGATAGAGAGAAGTTGGGAGGAGAGGCAGGATGGAGGCACGTTTGCTTTGGGATGGCTCTACCTGTTAAAGAAAATAGGCTTAGTTTAAGCATGCATTTGCCTTGTAGTACCCTCTATGTCAGTGTCCTATCGATTGGCCTTTCTGGGGTTTCGGCGAGGTTATAAGCCTCTTTCCGAACTTTTCCGTCAGAGACAATGTGAGGCCACGCTTCGGAATGTTTGGCCACTTAGGAAAATGACATTTTAAGACTTTTGGTGTGTGCTCGTTAAGGGGAAAATCATTATTGTCGATGTAGTCATCATAATCATGATCAACTTTATCATCATCATCATCATCATCATTCCATCATCATCTTTCAACGTGTCTGTGATAAGTGTAAATTATTATAACAGACCAACTATTCTAGTCACTCCACTACATCCAAATGTAACAATAATGCTAAGGCTCCTGCATGCCAGTTGGTACGATGACAGAAAATTTAATTGAACCACCGTGGAGACCAGCAATTATGTGTACATCGATTATGTTTGTGATACTGTGATAGTGTGCATTATTCATTAATGTGAGTTATTTCTGTGTGAATGTTTGTGTATTTAATTATGCACGCATTTGTATAACAAATTTCCCAAGGTGATCGATAAAATGAAATTTATTTGTCTATTTATCTAATTGCACACGGTCAAGTCATACTTCTGGTTATCGGTATGCATACTGAAAGAACAGCGAGAATCCACTCAAATAGTTGCCCTGCATGAAAGCACAACCTCAAGCCATAGTGACCAACAATTTAGTTCCTGTAAAGCTTTCTACTCTTTAGAATTTTTTGTTCACTGTAACTCGCCTTTGTTCTTGTATTTAATTTTGAATCATCCCCACAGCTATCGTACGGTCAAAAATTCGTGGCACAATTTATCCTGAAATATCTCTTTAATGAGAGAATCAGTGTCACCCATTCTTTGTACATCAGTTTGTTTTAATTTGTCTTAATTTAATCACATTTTTCCACAACAACTGAAGCTCGATTAAAAAACTTTTCTGCATAACTTTATATAAAATACTATAAATCTCCATCACGCGGAAAATGGGATTGTTCACAGCACTTCCCGCTTCTCGTACACATTTTGCATGATCTTCGCATATGGCCTACGTCACAGCTCGCCAATGACACTTTTTAGTAGCAAAATTTTTCAATAGAAATTAATTTGATAGTGAACATATTTTTTGCACTAAAGGTTCCCCAAACATACGTTCAATACGCATAATGTTGCGATTAGAAAAAAATGACAGACTTGCTTTTAAAAACGATATTGCCCGAGCTGTAAACTTTTAAAAATCCGTAGAAACCTTCCACTGGGATTTTTTAAATTACATGTAGTATTATTAAGGAGTTTTCTAGAATACAGTGTGCAAGAATTTGAAAAAATATCCACCCGTTAAGACAAACTGATATAAGTCATTGTGCAAAAGTTGGAGAATCTATGTTCGATAGTTAAGGAGATATTTGACAATACGTTGCGCCATGCAGTTTTTGACCGCACTATACCTTTAAACGACGTCTGTGGTTTAACGTTTAGGCTCTGGGCTGTTTCAAGTAGATAACGTTAGTTCGACTCCTGAGAGAGTAACTTTCTAGTGTGTACATATATCCATCTGTCTGCTGGGTCGTTGTATCCAAAAAGGCCTGAGTTATCCTTGAAAGATAGAGCCCGCCTCGTAAACTGATTATCGAAACTTACCTAATAATGTCGTAAATCAGGAGTATAAAGCTCAATCGATCTGGGGGCCAACCTTAAATATTACACTTGAGTTTAGTAGTAGTATAGGGTTTTACGGCGCTAGCAACTGCCAAGGTCATTTGTAGGCCGAACTGGATAGACATTCTTTATAAAGTCTAATTTTAGTAAGAATTTTACGACACTTGCAACACTGAATAGGTCATATGAGTGTCATAGATTAGAGATGTACCAGAGAGTAACATATAAAGAAAAGAAGGAGGGGACATAAGGACGATTTATGTTTAATAGAAAAGAAAATTATCTCAGCAGTGAAAAACATTAACTTAAAAAAATCACCAGAGATAACAGTTTACTATATTTGATTAAATTTTTGAAAAGATCAAGGAATATCAATATTCGGTCTTATGCTTATTTGTCATAGCTGGATGTTTGGAGTATTTTCTTGTTGCAACAAGTTCGTTTATATTTGGAGTTAAGGTTCTGTGTCACGGAGGTTTCTAAGATGGACTCCAAAAATTCTCTCTCTGGGCAGATAATAATCGCTGGTCCGCGGGTCTTGAGTTTGACACCTACTGGCATCACCTGTGGCTTAAATCATTAGGCCTGCTACATCGCTACCTCAGAATTACAAAGTACTATCTGCCCTGTGCCTAGTTTTGAGAAATTTCACATTAATAAATTTTGAGTTTCACATCATGCCAAGCTTTTCCGAATGCAATTCTTTGAATTTCTTGATTACGACTCCAAATAATCGTACGATTTTGTTAAAGCATTTGGTTACCCACCTCATGGTCTTTGTAACTAAAAACAGCCGAAAATTTCTGACAGCTCTTTGTAATTCTAAGGTAGCGACATGTATAAAGATAACATTCACCCTTGACTCTCCCTTGTTCTCCTCAGTCCACCCCAAAGAGGGTAGGGCCCGCCATGACGTGGGGCGCCTTCCTCCTGGGCTGGCTACAATTGGGGAATAAGACCAAAGCCGCTGAACTGTTTTCCAGATCCATAAAAAATGCACAACAACCTTTTCTGGTAAATAACCGTATTAAATTTTTTTAAAAATGAATTTGGAATTTTACCTCATTAACCCCCCCT